TAATATATATATAATTTTTTTTTGTTTCGTGTTTAAGAATGTTCGTTGATGTGATTAATTATTTTTTTTTTTTTTATATAAAGTTTTTAGAAAAATAAAAAACTTGAAATAGATACTACGTTTTTAAGTACATCTTTTAATTAATAAGAAAATATATTAAGTATATGTTATTTAGAATCAGTCAGAAAAAGTTTTATTATTAAAGCCGCTGTATATTTTTAAGAAAAATAAGGAATTTTCGAAAAATTTATTTAATTTAACTGTACAGGTGATACGTACACTGTTAATAATATTTAAAAAAAATTAAAAAGATTTTCATAACATTGCACTTTTAATAAAATTATGTGAGATATGGAGATTTGAGATTTTAGATTTCAAATGATAAAGAATACATTTTGTTTTTATAAAGTATACTATACTAGTTAATAGTTACTTCATTTACACATAAATATATAAAGCATATACCAAAAGTTTTAACAGTAGGGTAGTTCATTAAAAAAAAAATGCTATTTTTAATTTGTGTATTTAATCGTTTTTGGCATTTTGACATTTTTTAAGCATTGTATCAATTACCTTAATATATTTTTGGAACAGCTATATATTATTTGAAGGTAAAATGTTCAAGTAGTTAAGTTTTATCATGGTCGATGAAACATTGAAACTTTGAACATTGAACAACAGATATTTGAACCTAATTTATAAATATAACTTTCATTGAATTCTGATGTACTATAGATATAGAAAATGCAAACAGCTTGATGTAATGTATGTATATAATACAAGCGTCAAGTAGATTGTGGTTCTATACAATTTTAAATAAATATTATTTTAAAATAAATAAACGATTATTCAAAAACCATCATTAGTATTAACATTTTTATCTTTCAACAGAAAATATATAATTGCGAAAATTCACAGCAAACCAACATTATTAAAGAACATCAAATATTTTCACGCAACTACTATAAATACAAACTTTGTTAAAAATATACACATTCTAGAGTCATTTATATGTAAATGTCATTCGGCATTTTACTAAGTTTTTTGAACGGCAATATCAACCGACAACCACTAAACACAAATATTCCACTAATCAAATTTATTACTTCTAAGAGCATTTTGTAGTTTCCTCATTAATATATATATATCTACACGTTAAACATAACTAAGTATATGTATTTTGTAAATTATTTATTAATTACCTACTATATTATATCTATTATTATTTATTATAATTCAATGTTTTTCTATAAAAAATAATGTCGTCTATAGAATAAAAAAAACTATCAAGTTATGTCTAAAACGACTAAAACAATACAGAAATATGGTTATAAATAGAAGTAAGATTTCGAAATATTTAAACTCTTGAATTGTTCCAAGTTTAAGGAATTCAAACTGTTAAAATTGAACATCTTGAACAGTTTAAATGTATCGATAATAACAAAAGCAATCATTCACTGCAGTGGTTTGCATCTTACAATTATTATCTATTTATTTCCAATATAGTGTAGGATAGTTTTATTTATTTAAAAGTTAATACTTAATAAATTTAAATTACAAATAAAATTATATTTTATTTTAGTTAAATTTGAAACGATTAAAAGTTTGTCCGAAATTCGAATAATTCAAGAAAAATAAAAGTTATAACTCTGGTTTAGATTGTTATTAATGATTTAAGTAATATATTATATTTTAATGTAAATAATAACTATTTAACTTCAAAATAAGACTTTATTAATAATAAAATTTATTTTTGTATTTTTTAAATGTAACATACACTATAATAAAGTATAGTTGTCTTTAAGTCATAAATACCCATTTGTTTTTGTCTTGTTATAATTTTGCTTATAGAACTATCGGCTTTAATTAAGAAGACTTAAAATTTTAATTTTATTTAAATTTATAATAGAAACTAAATGAGAAAATCTTATAAATCGTACAAGTATACACATGGGAATCGAGAATGGTTAGTATAACGATGTCTATTTGTTTGATGTCGTGCCACCGTATCGTATAAAATATGCTATCACTCACTCACCACCGTACGACAAACAATAATAGTCTTCAATCTAGACATTTATTTATACGAGTATAGAGTATAATCTACTAATATACTTAATCAAAATTTTCAAATAAATGTAAATAATAACAATAGATGTATTGTTTATAGTTAATTTTAGGGCAGTTTATAGTTAATGTTTCATAATATTACAAAAAAAAAAAAAAAAAAGAATTAATACAAAAAATGTTTGCAAGGTGATACGCACTTGACGTTACACAATATACACACACATTCATATAATAACGACATTCCAGTAACATACTAACACATGATGTTACAATAAATACAATTCGATATTTTATCTAAGAAGTATTTTTCCCCCAACAATAAAAATATTGTCTTGACTTACCTCAATGTAAGATGTCGAAATAAAGAGAAATATTGAATTAAATTTCAAATTTTTAAATTATAGTCTATAATAGTTGGTATTCTGTAGGTGGCGAGGAGTACATTTGCGAAGCGATAACAAGCAAATAACAAATGGCTCTTTTAAAAAAAATATATTTTAAGGATAAATTAACTTTTTATTCAGTGGTCAAAGATTTACATTGACAGATTCTAATCGATTTATACAAGTGTACGTTAATTATGGACGCGAGTATAATTAATAAATGTAATAAAAAATCTGTTCAATTTCGTGTTATCCGAAAATTCCAATCCCCATAACTGAGTGATGTGTAGATGGGGTGTATTATTAATAAAATGCATACGTGTATTGCATTAATTCTACTTGGCAACATAATATCGAACAGAAATACGGATGAACATAATATAATCAATACAAATCACAGTATTGTATTGCATTAATATCAATATAGTCAAAACCAGTCGACATGTAAACTTTTATAATCGAATTAATTTTTTTATTGATTTCACGTATGATTTATTATTTTATATTTTAATGAAATCAATTGGAATTGAAAGAGACTAAATGTATCCAAAAATGGTATCTTTACACATTATAGTAAATATAAAACCCTTTGAAATTCTATGCAAACGTGTAAACATGCGTGATATTTCAATAATATTTGATCGCCAACAGTTAATTATTATTATTATTTTTATTATTAATATTAAAGGTTAATTGTAAAATTTAAGGGCAAACGATATTTTTGTAAAAAAAATATAAAGCAAAACACACGACATCAATAGAGCTATATTATACAGATAAATATAAATATACTAATATACGAGTATAATCCAAACGAAATCGAAGTTTTCAATTTGTAATCATCAATAGACAAAAGTTATAATATAATAAACGATGTTCCACTTAAAAACGTTAATTTATAACTTGAAACTTTGGAGATAAAAAAAAATCAAAAGTTTAGATTTAATAAATGTTTATTTGTTTAGACTTCAATTCAATTTAAATACCTACATAATTATTCGGTTACAATTCATTTAATTCTTAAGAATTTTCAATCATAAAAAAACTTAAGTGTAATAAGAAAAAAGCAAATTTATTATTTTTCAAACCCAACGAGAATATATTAAATACCTATATAATTTGTAGTATGCGACGCGCAGTGTAGGTATATATTGTACGGATTCTAAATATTAATTTCCGATTTTTTGGAGGAAATTTCCCCTATTTTCTTTCATTATATAATATTGTATCTAACGATGTACGGCATTCGGTATACATAAATGGCACCTACACCGGCTTTTTCTCGATCTAGTTTACCCCATGGGGTGTCCAAAAGTCTAAAAACGTAGGGCTGAAAAAAAATAACAGTGGACGATAATAATAATATATGACGCGTCTTAACCGGAAGAATGGCAAAATACGTAGGTTTAATTTTTTTTTTTTTTTTTTTAGGGTCAAAATTCGATTAATCACAAATCGGTGCCGCACATAGTGTACCTACCTACCATACATTTATATACCGTACAGTATATACCATAATAAAATTATAGCATGTCATTTATTCCATTAGTAACACAAATATAACACACAGAATATAATGAGGCAGAGGGGGTGGTGACTTCTCAAATGGCAGACGCTATTGTTCAGTGTTCGGGCAAACAGATAAAAGCTACTAAACTATGGGGTTGTGTGTGTGCGGCGGGCGAGCGCGCGCGCGTGTGTGTGTGTGGAATTTCGACGAAACGGTTTGTGTTGCAAAGGGTGACGTGCGAAGAGACTATAAAGTACGGGGATAAAAGGCTCGTCGGAGAATGTTCGGTCTGCGGGAGCAGGACGAGGCGACGGCGGTGGCGGCGGCGGCGGTGCGAAGAGAAAACGCATACGTATATAGCGAGAGAATAGCGTTTCCGTCTGGCGACGACGGTGAAAAACGGTCGGACGACGCGCGCACGCGTGACCACCAAGTCCCGCTGCAGCCGTCGCTGGCGGCGCGCGCGGTGTGCATTTCCGATATACACCGTGAGCGCGACGACGACGCGCGAATGACACACCGGCGGCGGCGATTTTTCGGCGGCGCTCTCCGTTTGCAGACGAGCGCGCGCGC